TTTTAGGAGAGGTGTGTGCATGAATGACCTCGCTTCTTCATCCCCCTACTTTAGTAAGAAGGGAGGTCTGCACTACCCCACCTTCGAACACTAGTTCAACACTTTCAACCCTTACGATGGAACAATTCTAAAACCATGGTTTACACTTTGGCTCCCCTGCAGTCCTCACCATGGATCTCTCCACCGCAACTCGCCTTTCTTGGCCTTGCCCACCTTCGTCGATGAAGTGCCCTGCAGCTGCGCCAGCTTAGCTTCCTTCGAAGTTCTGAACAGCTTGAGCTCGGCATCTAGCTCGCCTGCCTTCTTGAGCAATCGGTTCATGACCTGGAAGGGGAGAGCCTCAAAATCCACTGTCAGCCTATTGCTTGGATCGAAGTCATCAAATTGATCGTTCGTGAGATCATCTGCAGGCTGGTTCTGTGCCCTGGGCGCCCATTGCAGCTGCATGTCAATGCCCAGCATGTCGAGTTGCACCGCTAACTCCATTGCCACAATCGACAATGGATACTTGCTTGACCCATATCTCTTCAAGACATGGGTATTCCCCAAGTTGTCCGTCAAGGCTGTGAGTGTCACAGCCGCACTTCCCGTCGTCCAGCCTGCCTCCGGCCCAAACATCATCACTGCCACCAGGACGCCGATGAGCTCCAAGGTGGCGATGTTCCTGAAGGGGTCGCCCTTGAGGTACGCCCACGGCGCATTCTTCCTATTCAGCCGAAAGGAGAACCATCTGGCCGTCTTTTGGTCGGGAGTCATCCCCGTTTCCCAGCCACCGATGACGATGTCCTCCCCTGCCGCCTTGGCGTCCACCCTGAAGATGTCCACAGGGCACCTCTCCAGCGGCTCGGCACGCCTCATTGGCTTTCTCTTCACCTCCTCTCGTATGAAGTCCAGCAAAATCATCACAGCATCTGGGAACTTCGAGAAAGTGCCAGGTGCCATGGTCGAAGCCCACGAGAAAAGAGGGGCCAGGAACGGGCGGACGTGTCTCAGCGCCCCGGCAACGAAGCTGAGCCGCCCCAGCACCGATTTGAGCTCTCGCCCGAGCACACCTCCTTGCTCCTCTTTGCGATCTATCCAATCGACGATCCATGTTCTCTTCGACTGGTTGATGCCTTTCTGGAAGGTGTGGACATTGAGACAATAGCCAATCCAGTTCACCTCAGTGCCGCCTCGCACCTTCGACCAGGTCACGGGTATCTCTAGTAGCTCAAAGGTGAAGAACCACATCAAGATCTTCTTCCAGAACTCCCGACCGGTCGCCGTCAGCCAACCATCATCTGCATAAATGAGATGTAGGAGACCGTACCTCCTGCCGAGAAGGCGGTGCACGCAGCGCACTGCAACCGAGATGGCCCTGCCGAACCAGTAGGCGGCGCTCGCCACCCCAAAAGTGCCCCTGGTGCGCACGAAGATGTCCCCTGACTTGTCGCCTGGCAAACGAAACGCCTGTAGCCCCCAATCCTCCTCATCGACTGGGATTAACTTGTGTGCTCTGGCGATGTCATAGAGGACGGAGAAGCGAATTGCCCCCTGACTTCCATCCAGCTCATGCTCCACCTGTCTCAGCACTGCCGTGGCGTCATCGATCAGCGGGAAGCGCATTCTGTCTCTCACCCTGATCCTCCTGTTGACGTCCACGCTGTAAGTCCCATCATGGATCAACCGGACCTTCTTTGTCCCAAGCTCCTTCGGGACCGCACCGAGAGCCGCCACCGCCAATCGGCCCTTGTACTTCCTCCTCGCTTCATGCTCCATCATCCTCACAATGGTGCCAATCTCCACCTCGTGAAGGACTTGCCGAGCTATGTCTTCTGCATTCTCTTCGGCCGACTCGTAGTTCTCTGCCAACATGTCCCTCATGATTTCGTCTGTAGCATCCACGGTCCACTTAACCTTCTCCTCGTACACGGCTGGCGTCCTTGGCATCTCCAGATCAACTCCCAGCCTGACTCCACGGGCCGCTACTTCCTCCAGGAACCCAAAGTCTTCATCGCTCAGGGCTTCTGCCAAAGCTCTCAATCTCCTGAAGTTTATCTCCGAGGGTCTGTCCTCGGCTATCCTGCAAGGCTCCAGTCCCCATCGAGCCAGGTGCTGATCCAGAGCCCTGCGAGCCTCGTCGATGCCCTTTTCGAAAGGAGACTGCTTGACTCTCCCGGCCGCCATGGACCAAAAGATCTGCTTGGCCTCCTCAACTCCAACCTCCTTCAGCCAAGTCTCGAATGCATCCTCAAACCAGGCAACCGTGGACTTCTCCCGCTCCGTCACCGGCAGCCTCCTCCTGTCGACCGGCCACCTGCCCGGGGAGCAAAGACCTGCCCCGTCATGTAGTGCCCTGGTCTCACCTTTATAGCTGACTTGTATGGGTGGCCCCTCTGCCGGTCTGACTCTCTTGTCAGGCGTCTCCTCGATCTTCTCCTTAGAGGGCTTTGCTTTCTTGCGGGGCGACTCCTTGATCTTCCCTTCTGCGTGCCTCTTGCAATGCTGCTCCTTGCCAGGCTCCTCTCCGATCGGATGTCTTTCCCCCTCTTTAGCCGGTTGGAGGGGAGCCCTCTGCCACTGTTGAAGAATTGACTGGGCCAGCTGTTCATCCATCGCTGCTGGATAGGTAGATGTTGTTGAGGTGCGAAAGGAAGTATCCTCTTTCGCCCTGGCCAAGGTCACGGTGGGCTTGCATCTGCATGCCAGGATGGGGCCCACATAGTGGCGGTGTGCGTCGAACTGGGGCCACTGGCATTGCCCCCAAGTTCGCAGAGCAGCCAGATTGGTAATGAGTCGTGTTGGCTTGCGATAAGGTGCCCCCCAGCAGCATTGGTTGAAGACCACAGTGAACAACTCAAGAGTTGCATCTTGCCGCACCAGGGCTCGCATGCGCGGCAACTGCCAAATAGAGGCCGGTTCCATCAGCATTCCATCCTCTTCTCGACGAATGAGACCGAGGTCCTCCGGGTGCTCGCCAAACACGATGACCAGTCGACCGGATGCTGCATGCGGATGTGCTTCCAAAGTCTCTAGCGCGTCTAACATAAAGACGATCAGGACATTGCCCAGCTCAGCATCTTTGAGGTGCCTGGCAGACAGCCAGGGAAAACCCCATGGGCGCTCACGAGACCTGATGGCTGGCGGGCCTCTGCAGTTTGCCCCTCGTACCCTGCTCCATGTGGAGCAAGGCGGTGTGACCAAGACCGCGTCGAACTCACCTTGCTTGATGCGCTGCAGCAATGGCTGTTGCACTGCCCCCTTCGAAAGGTCCCACTCTGGGGAGTTCTGAATATCAACCTCATGCACTGTACAATGGATTCCTTGTTGATGACATAGATGTTGAAGCACCGATGTCACTGACGACTTCCGTTGCGCTCCACTGAAGAGGTAGAGCACACTCATACGCTTGCCTTCTCGTGCGCCCCTCGTGGTGCTTTCCGATGCAGGCGGGCCTGGGGCGCAACCCGCCTCATTGTGGCGTCACGATGCTTTTCCGCCGCCCTCCGCGGCACCCCCAGCTGTGTCCTTGGACTTCCCGCTCCCATCGCAGGCGTGCATGGGATGTGGCCCGAAGCAGACCTGGCAAACATGCAGCCTGCCACAGTTGAACCGACATCTCTCGCGGGGATTGTTCCATCGCCAGCAAATCTGGCGTCCGTCGGGCGTGCGGTCGTGCAACTGCTTGCCGCCCTTCTTGCCTTTGCCCTTTCCTCCTCCTTTCCGTGACTTTCCTTTGCCTCGCTCACCGTCACGGCCTCGATCCATGCCCCACGAGCGCTCCACCGGTGGGCTCCGCGACCTCCATGGTGGTGTCCTTGAATGAGCCACCTGCGAGTACACATTGGGTGTGAGAAAGTAGCGCTCCTTTATGGTGGTGTCCAGCATGGCCTCTCTCAATGCCTCATGTAGCAACCTGCCCTCGTTCGCCAACTTCACCATAGCTCTTCTCACCTGGAAGTCATAGGAGAGAACCAAATCGAAGTCGGGCGATGCTACTGTCTCCCCATCTTGGTTCTTGGCCTTGAGGCCTAGCACATGCTCACCAAGCATCAAATCCAGGTATTTGAGAAAGTGCATTGGCTGGAGGTCACGTAGTGTAGCCTTCTGTGGGAACTTCAGTTGGGCCAGTAAGTACGAGTGCGAAACGACCGCCATGCGACGCCTGAAGTCCTCTGGCGTCTTTGGCTTGGGGCACTCACCATATCCCTTCTTCACCTTCAAAGCTCCTGTGCCCTTCTCAATGGTGGCGCCCAACACATCTGCCTCGGCGTCTTCTCGGCTAACGAACTGCACGAGGCTCATATTCTTCAGTTCCCCTTGCTCCACCTGGTCAAAGATCTGCTCCAGCGTTGACGCTGCTGGTATGCTCCTGTCCTCCAACTTGAGGCCGTGCACCGCCTGGAACTTTGTGAGCAGATCCTGCACCTCGACCTTGTTTAAAGCTCGGGGCTGACTGGCTAGCCCTGCCTCTGCCTCCGCCTTGCGCCTCACTGTCATTCTGGTCGAAGAGGATTCCCAGGCGTCCACCATAGATGCGATATCTATCACATCCCTTCCCTCATCGAGCCCAAGGGAATCCACACAAAACCTCCTCATGCCAGCCCTGTCGTCAGTCACCGTGCTCAACCTGCTAATGGTTCTCACCCTTGCCACCGACAGCTTTGCCTGCAGAGTCTCATTCACCTCCTTGATCTGCAGAAGACCGTGTAGATCCGCATCCAAGAGCGAGATGGCATTTGCCCGCCGTGCCGGCGTGTCATGGCCGATGTCCAGCGCCCCAGCAGCAGCCCCGGCTCCCGCCATGTGAACTCACGAGGACTGGTCCTCCCCGTGAGAAACCCCGGGAATGAACCGCCGCTGAACGGCCGCCCGGGCTGGAGCCCCACTCATGCACCATCATGCCTGAAAGGGAAGGTCTCACAAGGCTTGCACAAATCCATGACGTTCCACGAAACGATCAATCAACCCGGCAAAGCACACTCAAAACCAAAACACAAACCACGTTCAACTTTAACCCCCCCTTTCGCCTCAGGCCTTCCTATGACCCGTACACGGCCCTTCTCTTGTTTGATGTTTCGCCGCATACCACCCCTTTAGTGCAGCACGTCCCCTTTCACTGTGAGGCCCACGAATCTCTCACAATGATGCCTCCACATCCGACTCCATTGAGTCCGACGAAGTCACTTCCCCGGAGCTTTCATCCTCCGGAGAAATCCCTGCCACGGTTGCACCGTCACCGAAGCAGTTCTTACAAGCTCGATGATATTGGCTTGTATCTGGAGGTTCATCTCCTAGCAACTCAAACTGTGCATAATGTACACCGGGCTGCCTATGGCACTCCCCCACGCGGTGCAGAGTTCGCGTCCGCGATCGACCAACTATCGACACCACATAGCTACCCGCTACTGCCTCTGCTCGGACCACCTCGCCCTGCGGCTCCGTCTCCAGCTCTTCCGTTGACTCGAAGCCGGCATCCTCAGGCCCAGTCTTCCGATCATTGATGGGGTCGCCGTCTTCCGGCTCGACGAGCACCACCGGCCCTGCCGACGTCCACTTAGGCCTCCAACATGGCTCCACTGCCACCTCTTCTGGATGGAACCTCTCAAGCAGGCGTGTCTGTAGCTCCATTGCCTCGTCCGGATATCCAAGCAGCCCCATGCGAATGCTGACTGCCTCCATCACTGCCGACTCGTCCATGGGGTCTCCTCTTCCTTTGTTGTCTCGAATGAAGGCTGCTATGATCTTCTGGGCTCGCAGGATGTTCGCACGAACCACCCGCTCATAGCCTTCGTCGGCGGCCGGCCGCCACCTGCCCATCTGACGCCGGATGTCCTCCGGCACCCTTGCGGCCGCTGCCCACGACCTCAAGGTCGCACGTTCGCTATGTTCTGTCCGTAGCGTGCCTACTCCATTGAACAGCAGCGAGATCCTCTGGCTTCCATCCATAGTCCACAGCTCGCCAAACAAAGCTTGTGACATTGCAGAGGCCGTTGCATAGTCCGCCATCCGCCTTGCAAACGATCGCCTGTCCACCGTCGGCCAAGCCAACATAAAGTCTCGGGTCAAAAGGCCAGACTCCATGCCCATGTGAGTCCAGATCCGCCATCCGACCTCCAACCAATTGTATCGGCTTACCCAGGCGTCTTTGCTGACATAGAACGGGAGGAGGAGGACACGCTTGCCCGGCCCAGAGGTCTTGGACTTGTGGATGACCCCTACCAGGTGTGAATCTCGAAGCTCAATGCTCCGGTTCGGTGTCCCTCGTGTATCATCAAAGCGCATTCCCGTCCACAACTTCACCAGCCTGAACCAGGCGTATGCCCTGACAAAGGGGAGTCGGTCGTCGCACAGCACCATGTCTTCCATGGCCTCGATGATTGCCAACGGGATCATCCTCGCCTGCCTCGACGGCCTCATCTCCGCCGAGGCCAACCTGAGCTGCGCCTCCTCCAATGCATTCTTCACCGCCGCAGACCTGTGGAAGAGATTATTACCCTCCTCCACTTCCCCTGCGAACTCCAAGAACATCAATGTCTTGAATGCTGCTTCCGGGGCTGACTTCGCACATGGCTCCTGAACGATGACCTCCAAGTATTCTGCAAACTCCGTGGGTGATGTAGGCCAGATCTTGCCATAGGTCGACTCCAGCCACTGCCCCACCTTTTGCCATGTTTTGACGTGCTTTCTCAAAGTGTTTGGACGCCTTCCTTTTGCGATCCTCATGAGTAGAGAATCTTCGCTCGATCGAAGTGCAACCGGCAGCTTGGCCTTCTTGATGATCGTCCTCAACTCTCCCAGCCACCTGTCGCGCTCCGACTTCTCCGCTTGCTCTCGCAAGGCCAGGTCGTCCCCTGCAAGATGTAGTTTCTTCCCGAGCCTTGTCGGCCATTTGATCACCTTGGCCGATCCAACCATCTTGACTCGCTCCACCACCTCCTGCTCCTCGAGGCTTCCGAGGGCGCGCCTCCTCTTCTCCCTCTGGTCTTCCAAGTGGGCCTCCAGGAGCTCGTGGGAACCTCGGCTCGCGTCTGCTCGGTGAATGTTGGCCGACCGTTTGTCGCATTGATTCACCATCTCCTGAAGGTCAGCCAACTCGGCCTGAAAGCTCTCCTTCTTCCTCCTGGCGGCTACTAGGATGGACTGAAGCACGTGGAGACGGCAGCCCTTCAACGTGCCCAGCTTCGTCACCGTCCAACCTAGCGCCGCCAGGACCTCCAGATCGGGCTCTGTTAGCCCTGCCAGAGAGCCACACAGGCAGAGCTCCTGCATGGCTCTCTCCATGGCGGCGCCAGCTGGATCCCCCCACTAGACAACAGAGGGGATTTGGGCCACGCTCTGCGGCGTTCGTTTCGTGACGGTCCCCGCGAGTCTCGCGAGTTGTCATATATACAGTCATATATTGTATATTTGAAAATTTTGCACCCTGACTCGTGCCTCTTTCTGTGGAACAGCCATGAGCTTGATGGTCCTTGACTCCAGCGGAGCTAACGTCACGTCCTCTCAGTCGAGAAGATCGCAGTGACCAACGGAAGGAACTCAAGAGAAAGGAATAGTAATGAAGTGCAAGAATTGAACCATTTTTCAGTTGATAAAATGTATTGTGTTCAACTAGAAGCGTTTGCCAGCCTGAGACGCGAAGACCACTTCCTCAGCGACCTCAGGTGTCATCTCGCAACTATTACTTTCAATCGTACGTCTACCAAGGCACAAAGTCAAGGAAGCTACAAGCAGCTTTGCTAAATGTCAACTCAAGTCAGAACAAAAAGATGCAACCACAAGGTCTGGCCATGTGTGGCCTGAATTGCTTGAGCACGGTACACCATCAGTACTCTGGAGTTGACCCCTCAAACGGACGGCGGCCATCTCCCACTTCACCCTCATAGGGTTCGTCCTCGGTATGTGTGGATTTCCTTTCGAATTAATTAGATTCTACACCTTCAACTCTAAGCATGTCGCAAGGTAACTTCTACCACCACCTGCCCGCAACACCATGTCTGGGCTATGGCCAGCAGCTTTTATATCGACCCATTCTTGTGACTTCAACTCAGTTCGAGTGAGTGACTGGGTGAGCCTCGGCACCAACTGTGGTGACTCGACGCAAAGTGTCAAAAATACGGGGATCTGACCTGGAGAGCATATGCATTGTGCAGTGGTGAGCAGGTCGTTCAGTGTTGTAAAAAGGCACTGCTACCCCTTGCATCCAGCAAACATTCGACGCACCTTTGTCGCCAATTTAATTCCAAGCGGTCCTGCAAAACACCATGTTTGCCTACTGCTTCTTTTCCCTATGTTTGTCTTCGTTGGGGCATGTCGTGAGAGGCCGGGGTAGCTAGAAGCTAATACTCAGTGGCTGGTTAAAAGCTTGGCGGCCAGTGCTATGCTGCCTATGCGGCTATGGCCATGCTCCTCTGTGGTGATGCCCAGCATCTTCTCTCCAAGAGCATCCCAGGGTGCTGCCGCAACCTGTCCGAGTCAATGAGAAAAATCTTTGAGGTCTACAGAGTCCGGCAAGCGCAAGCATCCTTGTTTGTAGCTGGAAGGGATAGTAAGAACATGCCAAAACATGTGAAAACATGTGAAATCAAGACCTGAAGCCCTTGTGGTAAAGAATTGCAAGCCTCATCTCCGTTCTTCGGAGACATGGCCTCCACGGAACATCTTCATACTCCAAGGACTGAGATGCCAAAAGAATACACCGCTGCCTCTCTGGAGCACTCCACATCATCCAGCAATCGAACCCGTACTTCAGGTTGAATGCGAGGAATCTGGGCAGCAGAGCAACAGACTAGTTCTATGGAAGTAATGATTAATTAACAACCCAGGGGTTCAGTTGACAATAAAAATATTGATGAGAGCTGGTCATCTTGCCTCTACAAAGGGGCCAGAGGTTGCATAAAAGTCCCTCTCAAACCATCCCATTAGCCAACTACAACAAAGTGTCTAAAATGGCCTGAAGGTCAATTGTCTTGGTCTCCCCTTCGCCACACCGCCTTGGTCGAAGCCAGTCAGACAATCATAGCAAGACACTGAGGACCGGTGAGGACCAGTGATGTGCATGGTTGTTTGATGAAAAAAACTAATCTCCTGACTTGTGAACCCAATCCTTGATCACATAAAGGAACTCCTCCCAATTCAAATCATTTCCTCTCGCCTTTGTTGCATTTATTTCCCAGTTCATAGTAGTCAACAAGACTCACAAACTCTTCCAACACTCCAAAATCTCTCCTCAATGTAGGTATTCTCCCGCTCTGCCTGCAAGTCAAGTCGAACTCTCAAAGCAGCAATCAATTCCATCAAACCACCACTGCAGTGGCTTTTTGAGAGAACAAACAGGTGAAAATCCCAGAATTTCAGAAGCAAACAGTTCAAGATGGGTCAATGGATGGATCGCTATCCATTTCCCCAGAGTCGTCGTTTGGAGGTCGCCCCGGTCCGCTCCTGGATACCAATCTTTTTATCAGCATCCGCAAAGGAATTCAGGAGCTCGAGGAAGTGTGAGAGGGACCTGAAGGACGACGGGAGTCAATGGACGCAGTATATAGTCAATGGACAGCAAAATTGAAATTTGGCCGAAACAATCAGTTGATTGCAAAAGCTTCTTCTGAGGCCAAATCTCGTCTTTCAGCCCCAATCCTCATGAATGCTGGAGACTTTACACAACACTTCCAAACGTGATTCAAGTCCAAGTAAAGGGCGATTCGCTTGGCGTGCCATAGTAAAGTGAAAGTGATCAGAGATGTGGAACCTGTCATCGGGCATGTATCAACAGCTATCCGAGCTCATTGCAGGAACTCAAAAAGTACAGCCGGAAGGACCAACCCTTTCCCAGGTACAAGTCAACCACCGCTTGGTAGCTGAAGAGTGCAAGCCTGCACGCTGCAGGCTACAACATGCTACAACCACTTGCTGAAACCGACTCAAGGCTCCAGCCGCTTGAAGCCGAGCTTGTTGTAGGTATGACCCGCCAGGACAAGATGGAAGGCGCCTTTCCTACGTACAGGAAAGTCCGCAGGAGAGTCATCATGATCAATCAGTAAGTTGGATTTCTGCTCGGCCTAGGAGCAGCACAGGTGTAGTACAGCTGCCCCGCCTCACAAGTCAATTCATGTACTCGGCAGATCTTGACTGAGCCGCTTGTCCTGCTCCAGAATGAGGGCATTCCTCAAGTTGCTATCAGCTAGATCTCCATTCACCTGCATGCGACTTCGCCATAGAATCGGTGGGGAGCAATGCTTACCTCCCAAACTTTTACTATATACCTTCTCTGCTCTTCCTTGGCCTCCCTTTTCGGGTCCAGCCACTTGTACCGGGACAAGAAAAAGGCCTTCATAAGGCGCAGAGCGGCATCCTTGAGATCCGAGACCATGGCCTGGTGCAGGACCACCGCCTCGATGCAAGGCTGAAGGCCACAAGGAACAAACATGAACAAACCAAAAACGCTTCTAGTAACAAGTGCCACGCTTCTAGTAACAAGTGCCTTACTAGTAGTAACAAGAAGCTTCTAGTAACTAATTTATATGTCTTTATTATTGTTTTTGCCCGGGGGGGTAGGCCGTAGAGGTAGCTAGTAGTAACTAGGTAGCTAGTAGCTACAAGTTAGCTACTACTAACAGGACGCAGGATAGCTCACGCTTCTTCAAAGAAGCGCTCGCACTAGTAATGACTTGGTTTCTAGATTTTTAGGAGTTTTTAGGAAAACTTAACCAACCTCACAAACTGATCTCCAGTGCATCTGGGCGACTCGCATCGCCAATCTGCTGGAGGATGCTTGCAAATAATGTTCATAGGCACTTTCCATGCAGCGATTCCGCTCCTCGTTCACAGTCAGGACCCAGGAAAGGGTCTCACAAAAATGAGTGGCCAAGGCATGTGGCAGGCAGGTGGCACTGAGAGAGTTAAGGCCAGGTGCACTTCTGGCTCCGTTGGTGATATAGGTGCAAAGGCCCCACCTTGGATTTGCGAGAAGTGCTCCATCGAGTCAGCGGGCCGAAGAAAAGTTCTACGTGTGCTTCCAACTGGGAGATCGACATCTCGTAAGCTCCAGCAGCGTGCTTCCAACTCCGGTCCTCCATACAAGGCATACAAACACCTAGAATCACTATGTCTCTCTCATCATTCTCCTGCTTGAAGTCACTGACAACCTGGCAGCATGCACTCACCATATGGTTTGAAGAGCCTCTTGTCCGGTTCATGTTTTGCAATTGCTGCAACTCATCAAGCTCAAAGGCCCCACAAGGCCGCTAAGGTATGTGCATTGCGATAGTAGCCAAGTGCAACCTCCGATTGTGTCGGATTGCATAGAGTCACAGAGAATGTTGTCACGTGTCCGAATTTGTTGAGCATCCAAAGCCTCGTAGTCTCTCAGATGGAAGGATATATCTCCCGCCAACCTCATCTGCCCTTCCACCTTGGCTGGCAGCTTCGTATTTCGCAAACAAAGAGGCACCGGGAAGAACCGCAAACAAAAGAAACTGTCTAGCTGACCTTGAAGCTGAGGACTCGGCAGAGTGCAATGGGTAAGCTCCAGAATCCTGACAAACTGGGTTGCTTGGAACGCCCTGACATAGAGGTGGTCATTTATCGTTGGCAGGTTGCAGTAACCTTGAGCAACATACAAATATTCCCAGCCTCCTGCACAACTTCCCCTGACACTTTGCCAGGTTCGAGGCAAAGAAGTCAAGATTCAGCCCAAGCATATCACTATGGTATTCTATGGCCTGGGAACGATTCACATTAGCACCTTTTTAGGGGCTCAAAAGCCGGTCGAGGAGCCAAAAAGCATTTGCTTGGTCTTGGTCGTCCTCTTCCATGTTAGCACGTTATCTTGCAGCTTCATGCTGCACTACATTGAGACGGATCTCATTGAGAGGCTCAGATGTAGACGACCTTGCAAGCCAGGTCAGCTGGATGCTTGCTGGGTGCATGTGAAGCTTTAGAGTAGACTGTACTCCAAGCTATGCACCGTTGGAGCTGGGACTTCCTGCCGTTCACTCGTTTGCGCTGTGCTCTCACCGTCCAAGCGAACACTACAAGTTCACTGTCCCCCCCTCCCTCTCTCTCTCTCTCTCTGTGTTGCCTGCGGAGGAGCACCAATCACCTCAGGCTCAAACTGGCAGTGTCTACCGCACAATCAGTCATAGAGTGACCAGGAAATGGTGGATCGGAGTCACTCCCTGTTAGTCCCTCACCCGATGAGCCGGACCAGCTCCTGGTTGTGGAGGCGGCTGGACGGCTTCCGCAAATCCGATGCGCCTTGGAAGTCCGGGAAGTCCCAAATAGACGGGACTTCCAATCACGAGCAGTCGGAGGTGCTTCATGTCAATGGTAGTTCTTTCTCCCTTCATCCCTGATTCAAGAAGAAACAGCAGTCTTTAAATCTCATAGTCACAGTGTTCTCCTCGGGTCCATGTGTGAGAGCGACAAAACCCCTGCACCGAGCTGGCAGCTGGTTCTTCCAGTCATAAGCAGAGTAGTACTTCCGCAGCACAGGCTCGCCCAAGATCCAAGTCTTGGGACCTCAGAGCGGTCACAAGGGGTGTGGCGGTGAGCTGGGGGCCTTGGGGTGTCACCTACGTTGAAACAAACTGAAAGCTTAGGATCAACATCAACACCTCTGTACGTGGGCTTCTATGTCGGTTCAATCGAATTCAGGCAACATAGCACGAAGAAGGCAGTGTAAGCCTACAAAATCCTGGAGCTTGACTTATCAATATGACAATATAGCATGTTGCAAGAATGCAATCGAAAAGTGTGCAAGTGATTAGCATGTTCACGCATCTTCTGTGTTCACGACCTAATGCAGGGATCTCCTCTACAGGGAGCAAGGACGCTCTACAAATCAGCTCCTCCTGCGTGAAAGGGCCGAGTCTTGTAGCTGCAACTTGACCAACATAGTGGCAAGAAGCTGCTAGGAGCAAAGGGCATGCTACTAGGAGCAAGGACGCTACTAGTAGCTCCTGGCCTTACTGCTAGGAGCAAGAAGCTACTAAGTCTGCCTCCAAACTGTCAAAGCATTCAGTTGCCTTCTTGCTGCCTTCCTGTCACCTACAAGTAGATGCACCAGCTCTCCTCCCCTGTCGCATTGGTGATGACCCTCAAAGCAGCTGGACGGGAATACTCCTGCAGGCACAAGGGCCATGCTTGTCAGTGTTAATTACCCATATTTACCCTACCTACCTGTCCAAATGAACCAAAAGAATTGTGTCGAAAGGCATACTCCTCAGCGCCAATGGACAGCTCCAGCCCATCTCCCAGGTCGAAGACAATATCCGGCCTGGACTGAATTCAAGCCAAAAGGCCTTGACCTAACTCCGCAACTTTTAGGGATGGGAGCCGGCATAAGTTCCCCGCCCAGGCTGGTTCCGACAGTCAAAATAGTCTGTGGAATCCTCGGCAGGAACCTTGTCGTCGTCGACCTGAACACATCATCCAACAATCAATTGAAACAACACACGAACGAGCGGATTGCCCAAACAATGACAAATCTCTCATCGGCTCCACTCACAACCCCCATGTCACAGGGCGAACTCATGTCAACATGATGACACACTGTAGCTAAACTGCACCCTAAAGAAAGAAACTTACTGCAGCCAGAAGTACACGCCGTGCAAGAAGCCAGTGCATCTTCTGCACAAAGGCCTAGAGAAAAGAGCACTATGCCACCCGTACAAACCTCTTGTGGAGTACCCTGACATTGCCCTGCGATGCAAATAGAGGGTTGGTCGGACAAACCTCTATATAGAAGCATTTATTGGCGGAAGCCATCTGCGCTCGCTTTGGAGAAAAAGACAACAGAGATTGCAAGCTGCTTAGGTTTTGTTGGTGAGAAAAAGAAAACATGCAATGCAAAAAGCTCATAACTTGTTCAAATTGCCATGCAGGTCGTCCCGCCTTGGGCACACCAATCAGTGAAGTGCCCGTGTCTGCTATGGCGGTGCAGTCGCCCGCTTCGCAAAGCTCCAATGTCTCGTTCTTGGCCAAATCACACAGCGTTGTGACCATTCACATTTTGTGTTCTCATGATCCAAGAACCCTCTGGAAAGCCCCAAATCAACCTCATCAAACGACCCCAAATGCGGATGGTGGTTTGGGACTAAAGGATTACAAGCAAAAGCAAGGAGATTCTACCAATGGCAGTTTCCTCTCAAGCTGAGGTCCCCGCCCCCACACGGATATTTCGCACAGCCAATTGCCAGTGCCCGTGCTGAGGCTTAGCCACCTTGGGCAAAGAGAGCACAAACGAGAAAGGATTTCTTCTCAGCAACTTCTTCTCACTATGCAAGCTGTTTATGACTTTTTATGATACTGTATGACTATAAATGAACAAAACTTATGAAAAACGGATCATCTTGAGTCGATTCAAGATACTGGAGCCCAGTGGAGCTCAGAGCCGTAGCGTTCAGAATTCAGACCTTGGTGCTCAACAAATCTTTTGAAGCACATCTTAGCAATCTCACTGCACTTGAAGGTTCTCGAGAATTGGAGTACGTCGTGACATTTCAGTATGTCATGCCCTTCAAACTAGCTTCGAACGCACTCTTTTTCGAAATACCTGCCATCAGTCCTCTCAGATTTCTGAGTTAAAGAATTGAGATCTTCCAGTCGCATTACCTGAGCAAAGTAAGGACGATTCACAGTGGAAGAACAGATTCAGGTGCTCGATCGCGCCTTTTTTGCTCAGTGGCGCTCCAGCAATCAGGGAGCCCTCCTGGCAAGTGTCACCACCCAGCATTGTCTCCTCTGTTTTAGCGATACTTTTTGTCTCCCCCTTCCAGCCTCAGGAGAACCAATCGCGCCCACGCCCAACGTGTTAGCTTCGCCATCGTTGCTATGGTCTGCCTGGGCGAAGCCCACGCGCTTGGCAGCCCAGTCCTGAGGACTCAGAAAGCACTCCATCGATGCCCTTTGTTACTAATAGCTTCTTGTTCCTAGTAGTAAGGCCAGGAGCCCCTAGTGGCGTCCTTGCTCCTAGTAGCGATGCCCTTTGTTCCTATAGTAGCGTCTTGTTCTATACACATGTTTTCTGCGCTTGCAAAATGAGGTCAGAACATAAATGGTGTAGTATTTCCTTGGGAGCTGCAGGCTCAGAATGATGAAGCAGCTAAGAAAATCAAAAAGAAACCCACATCACCCGCCGTGGCCCTATCGCCAGATTCTGAAGCCAAAGAACCTCAAGACCGGCTCGCCAAGAATAAAGGTCTTTGGCCCGAGGGGCTCCTGGAGAAAGCCCACAAGAGAGCCGTGGTCCACTGTGCATATCATTGATGCAACAAGTCAGAGTTATATGATTCCGCCGCAGGCCAAAACAGCGACAGAATGAATAGAATGGTCTGCCCATACCCTCTTTTGCGTTTGAGCCTGCAAGTCCAGCGGCAGCAAAAGCGAACGGCAGGTGAGCTTCCACCCGCCGTCAACTTCAGGCATCTTGGCAGAAAACCACAAATCAATCATGTATGCAGCCAGACAAGCAGTGAGGGGCTAATGCTTGATGTGAGAAGTTCAGATGCTCAGTCCGCTGCGGTCATGTTGAAAGGCTTTGGTCGAAAATAGTCCTGGTGCATGACAGACGCTGAACCTATGGGTACCTTGTCAATCGTGGGCGGTACAACTTCTTGTCGCCCCTCTGACTCTCACACAATTTGCAGCACGGCCCGCCCTATTCCTTGCCCGGTCCTCCGCATCTAAGACAATGCCAGGAACGTTTGGCCCCAAGTCAAAGGTCAGCTTATCACCCTCCTCTTGGGCGGGAAGTGGGAAATCTGCTCTTTTGGTGGTCTCCACTGATGTTGGTTCGCTTCACCGGATGTGAGTTGTATAACTATCACAAGGCAGGAAAGTGACTCTTGTCCAGACATATGGAGTGATTCCATGATGACCATGCTGCCTTTTTATAACTCTTGATTGTTTTCCTCATTCACCAAAATTCACCGCATGTCTCCTGAGTCCGACAATCTCTGGAAAGGGCTGCATCAGCCACTTCTTGGGTCACAAAGCCTGCATCAACGTTCATCGATGAGTTGATGAGTATGTTCGATCATCGGAACTGTGCAGAACATGTGCTCATGCTTTTTAGCAGAAAGATTTGACTGTGGGACATGGGCAACCAAGCCTTCCCCGTGACCAATTCCATTGGGCACCACCAAAACATTTCGGGACAGCAAGGAGTGCAAAGTCTTGATGGCCTCGAGGCATCTGGAGGCATGCCGATGCAGTCTCACTTCAACTTAAAGGCTCTTTGGATCCAAGACACTCCCACATCACAACGCAACTTCTTAATCATTTCTGGTGCCTCCCTTGTCACATACATAGGAACAATAGGTCAGAGTCGAGGTTAGTGTATACACAATCTGGGAATGGCTCAAGTGCACAAATAAGAAATGGCCTGGCGAGGAGCACCGAGCAAGGAGGTGCCAGTGTCCAAAATGGCCCGGCAGCCTCCAAAGCAGCCAGAAGATCTCGCAATACTTCAAGAAAAAGAATCGACATGCACCTTCAAAAGGATCACAATTTGGGAAACCTCTAAATTAATGGTCCCAAAAATCAACCGCCTCCATCGTTGCAATCATCCAGGATGGTGTCGCCAATTCGCACCTGGTGGATTTGCACCTGCCAGTAGCCTAGCTCAGGCTTTGCCACCGGCACCCAA